ACTACTACTACTAGTACTACTAGTACTACTACTACTACTACTACTACTACTACTACTACTACTACTACTGTCACCCCCACCACCATCACCACCACCACCACCACCACCACCACCACCAGCACTACTACTACTACTACTACTACTACTACTACGACTACGACTACTACTACTACTACTACTACTACTACTACTACTACGACTACGACTACGAGTCCGACAACGACTCCTTCTTCGACTGCGACCACCACTGCCGCTTGTATGCGTGTGCTTATGCGTGCTGTCTGCTTCGAACACACTCGGTAATATGATTATTGCCACTTTATCCCTACTATTAATCCTTTTGTTACTCTTTTTGCGGTTGCTACTATTGTTAGGAGCATTAAGGGGATCCTTAGGTACCCTTGTATCAGAACAGCGTTTATGTCTGCTTGCTGTTACAAAACCTATCTGACACGGCCTTTCTTAAGCTCATACAGACTTGCACATATCCATCACCTCACATGATGAGGAGCGCCACTGATGCAACCCGTAGACGGTTCGGATGATCTGTCGCTGTCACCAGCATCCCCTGCTTCCGACAGCAAGCGTGCAATCTCAATATGGCCGTTTTGATTTGCAAGGTCAAGGGCTGTACAGCCTTCGTTGACCAAGTTGATGTCAGCAGCAGCCTGCAACAGCAATCGCGCCATCTCGACCCGGCCCTCCGTCGATGCTCTCATAATGGCCGTGCTGCCATCCAGATGACCGCGCCCATCCTTGTCAGCACCAGCCTCCAACAGCAACTGCAGAATCTCAGGGCGGTCTGCGAAGACCCATGCTTGATTCAGAGCCCGATGGCCGGGGTCGCTTTCCAACAGCAGCCGCACCGTATCAACGCTATTAGACATCACGGCCTGGGACAGGGCGAAAATATCACCATCACTGTCTACCGTATCGACAGCACCAGCTTGCAGCAACAAACTTACAATACCAGCGTGCCCACCCGCCGCTGCAAGATACAGGCTTTGACTGGCCGAACTGGTTCACCAGGTTCGGGTCTGCACCAGCTTGCAGGAGCGAATGTGCGATATCAACACGACCAGTCTCGGACGCTAGGCCAAGGGCGGTGCCGTCCTCATCACATGAGTCCACGTCGGCGCGAGCTTGCAACAGAAGTTGCACGACGAAAACCTGGCCAGACTTGCACGCTTGACAGAGAGCTGTATAGCCAATTGACCACCGCGGACACCATCCTTCATAAATGGGCTCGCCTTCGCCAGCCAGCAAGTTGATACTAGCGCCAGCTTGCAGTAGCAAGTTCAAGGCCTCTACATGCCCAAACCTGCATGCTTGAATAAGTGCTGAATACTTTCCTCTTGGAGCGAAGTCCTTGTCAACGCCAGCTTCCAACAAGCGACCTACTGCTTCGACTTCACCTTCGGCAGCACATGAAATGAGCTCTTTGGCTGCTTCACTCGACTCAGGGCAGGAGAGGATCACCAGTTGCACGTCGATGGGCAGGTTCAGCCTGGAGTGGTCCTCCAAGCAGTTGCCGCCATGTACGATTTGCTGTTGACACACTGGGAAGCCATACAGCCTGCGCAAATGGTGCTTCAAGGCCAAAACAGTAGCCAACCCGTTCACGAACCCGTCCACGGTCATATCTGCCAGCTCTTGTCCCGAAGCGGTCCAAACACGGAGCATAGCGAACGGCCCTGGTGCTTACAGCGGTATGCATCACGGCATCTAGGATATCTCATCTGTGGTCTAACTACTTAAGAATATCGAAAACTTCATATTCATGCAACCACATGGATATCTATCTTGCAGAACTCATGAGACTGTAATGCTTTGAGCTCATGCCAGCCTCTTAGTGTACCCCGCAAAACATCTCCCTCAAGCCCTCAACTCGATAGCCTTATACCCTGAGCCGCAAAACCCCAAAGCCTCAACCCCTTAAACCAAACCTCGAATGAAAGCTCCAAGCCCTAACTGCACCACTTGACCTTGAAACCCTAGTCCCTACCTACACCTTCAAGATGCACCACACCCTAAACCCTCAACCCTAAACCCTAAACCCTAAACCCTCTACCCTAAACCCTGAACCCTCAACCCTAAACCCTAAACCCTCAACCTGCTCCT